AATTTAAACGAATTAGAAAATAATTATCCAGAAATCTACTGTAAAAATCTAACAGATTACATAATAAAAACAGCCAAAACCTCCATCCATTTTAAAACAACTAAAACAGGTAAACCAACAGTACCATGGTGGAACGAGGAAATAGAACAAACTAGATGTAAACGTAAATCAGCCTTCAATAAAGCCAAACGCGACTATAAACATCTAAAAATAGCTCACAAACTAAACCACCAAGTTCAAAGTCTAGTCAAAATATCTAAAACCAGAAACTGGAAAAAATTCTGTGAAGAAATAAATAACCGTACAGACGCCAGAACGGTCTGGCGCAAAATCCACGCCATTAGAGGCTTAAAACGTCATAAAAAAACACCTAACATTAATAATTCAACAAACCCCGCTGAAAAGGCAAATAACCTGGCCAACCACTTTTCGGCCGTTAGCAGTAACAACTCCAAGATCTACTTAAATTATACAATCTCATCTATCAAAACGGACAAGTACCTACTCCCTGGAAACAGGGCTTAGTCATACCAATCCCTAAATCTAATAAACCAGCTAATCAGGCTAACTCCTATAGACCAATTTCCTTAACTTCAAACTTAAGTAAAGTAATGGAATCTATGGCTAAAAACAGGCTACAACATTACCTAACTCAAAATAACATCATAAACCCAGATCAAAGTGGTTTCACTCCTGGCCGCTCAACCTTAGATAACCTCGCCGTTTAGAGCAGGACATTAAAACAGGACAACTCAGCAAACAATATACTGCAGGCATCTTCTTAGACTTCTCCAAAGCTTTCGACATGGTATGGCACGACGGGCTAATACAAAAACTACAAAAAATAGGACTCAAAGGTCAAATAATAAACTACATCCAAGACTTCCTAAACAATCGTAAAAAACCCGTGGGTATAGACCAAACGCTATCGGACCGATGTCCCCTAGAAAATGGCACTCCCCAGGGCAGTATCCTCAGCCCCACACTCTTCAATATAATGATAAATGATCTATTCGAGGGCCTATCCCCTAAAATAAACACATCTAAATTCGCGGATGATGGAGCCCTCTGGATCCGCACAAAAAGCATTCAAATGGCCCCAAACCTACTTCAAAAATCTCTAAACAAAATACAGCAATGGGCTGACAAATGGGGCTTCTCCCTTAACTCAGAAAAAAATACAGGAATAGTATTTAAACACAAAAACATGAAACCCGCCTCCCCAAAACTCCAGCTAAACAACAAACCAATCCAATTCCTAAAACAAACCAAATTCTTAGGACTAATTTTCGATGAACATCTCTCCTGGGACGCTCACATAAATAATCTAATAACTAAATGTAGCAAAGATCTAAATACGCTAAGATGCCTCACTGGCTCAAACTGGGGGGCCTCCAAAGACACCCTCCTCTCACTCTATATATCCCTAATTTGATCTAAAATAGACTACGGATGTGCCATATACGACACCCTAAACCAATCCCTAAGCAAAAAACTAGACTCAATCCAATATCAGGCTCTAAAACTAATAACACGCACTCAACATGACACCTCCTACACTTCACACCAGGCCTTAACAGGAGAAATGCCACTAAGTCTACGTAGGGAACAATTAACCCTAAATTTCTTGGCCGCGTCTCAATCCAACCCCCTTATTCAAAGCCTAATAAACAAAATTATAAGCCGAAAAAACCAAGCCCTAGCTCGAAAACACCCTCTACTTACTCCAATATCCCGAAGAATAACCAATTACTTAAATGAACACCAAATAAACAATCTTAAACAAAACTGTAAAAAATCAAATATCTTCACCCCAAAACTTAAAACACCCAAAATAGACATAACACTAGCTAGCACAATAAATAAACAAACCGACCCAAACATAGCAAAAACCACCACACTAGCATACATACATGAAAATTGGCCAAATTGGTGTCACATTTACACAGACGGATCCTCAGATCCGATCTCCAAACACACAGGTTTCGGAGTCCACATCACACAACCAACTAAAGCCACACAATCCTTGTGGATACCCGCCCACGTAGGAATATACGGTAATGAAAACGCCGATAAAGCAGCTAAACTATCCCTCAAAATACCAGAAATAAGCTTAAACTTACCCATCTCAAAATCAGAAATTAAAAGTGTAAACAAGCAAAAAATCACAAAAAAATGGCATAACCTATATCAAAACTCAAATAGCGAAATCAAAAAGGTTCTCAAAAACCCCTAACCAAACCAAAAATTCTACATCCGTCCAAAAAAATCGACAGAGTAATTACTAAACTCCAAACAGGACATACCAACCTAAATAACCACCTCAAAATAATAAGAAAACACGCAACAGGAACCTGCCCACATTGCAAACAACAAGAAACCCCAGAACACACACTCATACACTGCACCCACCACCTAACACACCGAACTACACTACAAACCACCCTAAATCTAAATAAGGCTCTTACTCTAGAAGCAATCCTAAACCCACAAAATAAAATAGAAAAATTCAAAGCCTTAGGCGTATACTTAATCAAAACAGGACTAATAAATCGCATTTAAAACCCCAATAAACTACCAAAACCAGACCACATAAGCAAACTAACAAACTTCCATACTCAGGTCTCTTAGTTCGTCCCTCAAACCCTCTTGGCATTTTTTCAAAATTTCAAAATTTCCAAAATTCTATATAAGCAACCACTAAACACCCCTACTGGATTGCCAAACAACTTTTTCCCCTTTTCGGAAACACATTAAATGGCTTGGCCGGGCCCGTGTGCGAATACGCTGCAGTCGGAAAGCGCACGTAAAATCTCCAATATAAGTAAGTAAGTAAGTAAGACCACGTCTCATACTGAACTGAAATGCGACAAGACCAGAACGTATAGCCATGCCTGCTGACTTGAACAAAGTGCTTCCGTCGCATCTAAGGATGGAGATTGAACCTCTGCTGAGATATCCTGTAAAGGCCTACACGATTAAATGTTGTTATACTGAAAGGGAAGCAACTCTGACGATGACGTTCGATATGTTGCATAAAAAGAAGAAATGGGAGACGACGTATGGCGACACTCAGGACGTCTCAAGTGGGCCTGCTACCACGCACGCCAACCAGAAAGATGTCAAAGATGTCTTCCGGGATGAAGACACAGAGACCGGAACTGAAGTCAAGATCTTGACAACAGATAGTGAAACATCGGACCAATCAGATTCCAGGAGGACTAATGTACAGAGAAAGACCGTTATACAGGAGCGCCCACAGGAGTGTGATAAACATGGTGTAGGTGAAATAACAGCGACTATGGAAAATCGTGGATCGGAAATTTAACAGAAGGAAGAGATCAAAGAAAAGGGGCAGGAATAATCGCATTAAAACAAACCACCCTCAACCATCAACGCACCCAAATCAGATACACAATCAACCAAGCAAATGCCCCGATCAGACGGACAGTCACTTGTGCCCTTGCGTCCTTGTGTCAGACAACGAAATGAGTCCAGACCTCGATGTGCCACACAAGGAACCGACACGAGACCATGGTATGTCAGAACTTCAATCAAGCCAACACCCCGAAGTGACATGCAACGAACCGAGCCAAGACCTCGATCTAACGAGATCTGGAAACATGGAACAAAACAAGGTACGAAGCTTTAACGACGGTAAACATATTTACAATCAGCCAATCTCGAGCCCTGGTGTGCTAGACCCCGGTATGCAAGAAAGAACTACTAGCCTCAATGTATCACAGGACACAATGACTCCTGCCACCAAAGTACAGGAAAACCAACAAAATCAACCGTGGCAGACAACCAGCCAAGTCAACGCCCCCATGTGTTAGGCAACCAACCAAGTCAACACCCCGATGTGCTAGGCAAGCAGCCTAGTCAACAACGCCCCGATGTGCCAGACAACCCACCAAGTCAACACCCGATGTTCCAGGCAACCAACCAAGTCAACACCCCGATGTGCCAGACAAGCAACCTAGTATCGACTCCGATGTGCCAGACAACCAACCAAGTCAACACCCCGATGTGCCAGACAACCAACCAAGTCAACACCCCGATGTGCCAGACAACCAACCAAGTCAACATTCCGATGTGCCAGACAACCAACCAAGTCAACACCCAGATAACCAGTCAGGCCAACACCCAGATATGCCAGACAACCAGCCAAGTCACCCCCAAAGACCGTGCACCAGAAAGCTTGATTACGATGGAAGCCTCAAACGAAAGTCACACGAAATGAACGTAATCAAAGAAAGCGACGAAAGTAAGGACACTGAAAAATGCGGGTGGTCTCCAGGGGAGTATCTCAACTCAAACAAATACCGACAAGTAGCCAGACGCCACCTCTCTGACCTTCCATCACGCCCAAACGAAAGAGGCGATTAACGGGGTCGGGTGGTGGAGCTCGTTGACTTGGTTGATGCATGCCATCGTATATCATTGTGTGGATCGATGCTCATGATGTCATATTGCTGCGGCGTCAAACAAACAACTAAAATTCTTGTCATAAATTCATCTCAATAGAAGGGGCCCAGATGGATCAGTCGTCTCAGTGGCCGCAATTCGCACTGCAGAGATGAGTCCGCTTGCAACAAGTGTGGGTTTGAATCCCGGTTCGCCCCGATTATGTTTCTTGGTTTGTGAACACCATGCCCTGCATCACTTCAGGCGTCGCTCGCACATTAAGCTGACATGCCGTAGTATAACTGGAATACTGTTCAAAGCGGCTTCAAACAAAACTCACTCACCCATCTAAATAGAAGCGATAAACCATTCTCAACATCTCTGCATAAAAGCAGAGGACATTTTATGTTTCTGAATTTATCATAAGCATGTGTTTATCAAATAATGAAGATATCAGCGGAACGATGTCAGTCAGTCAAATAAAGAGGTTTAGACAAATTTCAAGCCATGCACAAACACACTAAATATGTAATTAAAACAAAGCCAACAAAAATACAGTTATAAGTTTATTATTATTATTATTTATTATGATGAAGTTTGCTTTAATGCCCAATCGTTGTGAACACTATGTACGCTGGAATTCCCCGGAGTTTTTGTTGACAAGGTGCATTTTGTAACAACCAGTTACTTCATAAGGTAAGGACGGTTCTGTATAAGAACAATTCTTCTTTGCGTGGACTGAGAACTTCCTGAAGCCCGCATCATGGATTTTCCTCAGCACCTTCAGACGACGGATGAGAGTGGAGGTTGGTGCTTGGCCTCCCTCTGAACTCAATCAACAGCTGCCTGACGTGTGACAGGTCACGTGCCATTATCAGTAACTCAAAAGCCATATTATCTTCATCATGGGAGTCGATTTTGAGAATATCCAGCGTCCGCTGTCGAATAGGAAGTGAGTGAGTGAGTGAGGTTTTGATTTTACGCCGCTTTAAGCAATATTCCAGCAATATCACCGCGGGGGACACCAGAAATGGTCATGTTTTAGGGCATGCATAAAGTAAGCAGACGAATATTAAGGACATGGTGAGTGGATGAAGAGGGGGTTCATTAATAATTGTTACATTATTGTATTCTTATCAATCATTGGTAAACATGTGAATATGCCCTGAATAATAAACAGAGTATCACTTTCGATTTTAGAAGTCCCAGACGATTTACAGAAAATGAAACTAACCGCAGAATTGTACACTAATCTTAATTGTTTTCAAGCTTTTCTATCGAATGTTGCTCTCGAACGATGCCCAAACATTTAACACGCGATTCAAACATACACAATATGAATCCTTTCAATAAAAAGAAATTAGAAATATAATTCTCACTTTTAAACGTTCTTGTGGTATTATGACTAAATAAGGTAGACATGTTAAACCAAACCTGAATGTCTAAATGCAAGAGATTATGATTTTTAAAGGAAAAAAGAGTTTGTATCAATTCGTAAGGGGGAAATGGTTATGATTATACAGAAAATATGTACTTTTAGCTGCAGAATTTTGTTGATTTTACTGCAGAATTCGTCTGGGACTGAAAATGCATTCGTAGTACATGAACGAAAAAGTAATGCTATAATACCGCTACTATCGTTCATCGATCAACATCTCTTCCAATAAAACATGAATAAATTAATTATGGTATCCATCGCTGTCTGAAAACTGACTTTTTTAAGCAGATGCAAAAATTGTAAGGGAAAATCAAACGTATATATAAAAAAAATGTTGCCAGAAATAGTGCGACCTAATTCGTGAAAAGCTATTCCGCCAATATTAATTAATCATGACAAAATAAAGAGAGCGTTAATACTGCTGACAGTGTTTCATATGCTGGTGACATGTGGAGGAAATTTCCAAATTTGACACTTCAGTGACAAAACTTATGTCTGAGGAAAATTCCCTATTTTGACTAGTAACACTGTTCAAGTGGACTTTCAGTTAAACAATTACCTTGGCTTTGCATGTGTTTGTCACGGTTGCCACAGGTGGGACAAGATGGTCTTACCTATTCGTGAACACCTGGTAACATCACTATTTGATAGTGATTAATAACACATGCTTATGATATAGTCGGATAAGTCATGATTATATAAAAACTACTGCTCTCAATGTAATATACGCCATGAGCAATAATATGTTTAAGCTGATCGAAATTATACTATTCAGTGTATTTCATAAACTTGATTAAGGAAACCATCAGTAAAGAAGGCTAAATAATGACTATAAATACATTCCGTTTTGTTCAGATTCTGCAATGGAAGTCAAGTAAGATAAACATCGTAACGGACCAACCACAGTGAGTGTCATCTCTACCTTAATACAATTGCAATTATACCAGGGACGGTGGAGTAGCCTAATGGTTAAAGCGCCCACTCGTCCCGCCGGAGACCAGGGTTCAATTCTCCAAATTATATCAAAGCGTAGAATGTGTACCAACAGACATTCGTGTGCACCCATACCATAGAGTGTACACTAATACCGCTGCTGTAGGTGAAACAACAGGTGCACTTTGAACCCCGACTCACATGTGTTTGATTGAGGCGTCCCTGAAGTGTCCAGAGGGTGAGAAATTCCCATCTGTTCCCTGTGTAGACAACGCCCAGTCCTGCCCTCATCACCGTCAGCCCAGGGGCACGGCGGTGGTGTTCAACAGGGCTAGTAGCGACAGAAGGTCAACATTTATAAGGTTATGCTACTCTCATGCACTTTCCAGTTAAGTCTTTGAATGACATTTAGAAGTGATACATATAATGAAGAGAATATATGGATGTTACGTCTTTGTTATCAGGAACACAACGTTTCGGAGTATATACTTACTCCTTCAACAGGTAATGGATGTTACGTCTTTGTTATGAGGAACACAACGTTTCGGAGTATGTAATTACTCTTTCAACAGGTGATGGATGTTACGTCTTTGTTATGAGGAACACAACGTTTCGGAGTATATAATTACTCTTTCAACAGGTGATGGATGTTACGTCTTTGTTATGAGGAACACAACGTTTCGGAGTATGTACTTCCTCCTTCAACAGGTGATGGATGTTACGTCTTTGTTATGAGGAACACAACGTTTCGGAGTATATACTTACCCCTTCAACAGGTGATGGATGTTACGTCTTTGTTATGAGGAACACAACGTTTCGGAGTATGTACTTACTTCTTCAACAGGTGATGGATGTTACGTCTTTGTTATGAGGAACACAACGTTTCGGAGTATGTACTTACTCCTTCAACAGGTGATGGATGTTACTACTTTGTTATGAGGAACACAACGTTTCGGAGTATATACTTACTCCTTCAACAGGTGATGGATGTTACGTCTTTGTTATGAGGAACACAACGTTTCGGAGTATATACTTACTCCTTCAACAGGTGATGGATGTTACGTCTTTGTTATGAGGAACACAACGTTTCGGAGTATGTACTTACTCCTTCAACAGGTGATGGATGTTACGTCTTTGTTATGAGGAACACAACGTTTCGGAGTATATACTTACTCCTTCAACAGGTGATGGATGTTACGTCTTTGTTATGAGGAACACAACGTTTCGGAGTATATACTTACTCCTTCAACAGGTGATGGATGTTACGTCTTTATTATGAGGAACACAACGTTTCGGAGTATATACTTACTCCTTCAACAGGCGATGGATGTTACGTCTTTGTTATGAGGAACACAACGTTTCGGAGTATATACTTACTCCTTCAACAGGCGATGGATGTTACGTCTTTGTTATGAGGAACACAACGTTTCGGAGTATGTACTTACTCCTTCAACAGGTGATGGATGTTACGTCTTTGTTATGAGGAACACAACGTTTCGGGGTATATACTTACTCCTTCAACAGGTGATGGATGTTACGTCTTTGTTATGAGGAACACAACGTTTCGGACTATGTACTTACTCCTTCAACAGGTGATGGATGTTACATCTTTGTTATGAGGAACACAACGTTTCGGAGTATGTACTTACTCCTTCAACAGGTGATGGATGTTACGTCTTTGTTATGAGGAACACAACGTTTCGGAGTATGTACTTACTCCTTCAACAGGTGATGGATGTTACGTCTTTGTTATGAGGAACACAACGTTTCGGAGTATATACGTACTACTTCAACAGGTGATGGATGTTACGTCTTTGTTATGAGGAACACAACGTTTCGGAGTATATACTTACTCCTTCAACAGGTGATGGATGTTATGTCTTTGTTATAGGAACACAACGTTTCGGAGTATATACTTACTCCTTCAACAGGTGATGGATGTTACGTCTTTGTTATGAAGAACACAACGTTTCGGAGTATATACTTACTCCTTCAACAGGTGATGGATGTTACGTCTTTGTTATGAGGAACACAACGTTTCGGAGTATATGTACTTACTCCTTCAACAGGTGATGGATGTTACGTCTTTGTTATGAGGAACACAACGTTTCGGAGTATATACTTACTCCTTCAACAGGTGATGGATGTTACGTCTTTGTTATGAGGAACACAACGTTTCGGAGTATATACTTACTCCTTCAACAGGTGATGGATGTTACGTCTTTGTTATGAGGAACACAACGTTTCGGAGTATATACTTACTCCTTCAACAGGTGAAGGATGTTACGTCTTTGTTATGAGGAACACAACGTTTCGGAGTATGTTTTTACTCCTTCAACAGGTGATGGATGTCAACGTCTTTGTTATGAGGAACACAACGTTTCGGAGTATATACTTACTCCTTCAACAGGTGATGGATGTTACGTCTTTGTTATGAGGAACACAACGTTTCGGAGTATATGCTTACTCCTTCAACAGGTGATGGATGTTACTGCTTCATCTCCATGTTGATGGCGTATCAAGTCTTTGAAAGGCATTTAGAAGTGATACACACCTGATGAAGGAGTAAACATATACTCCGAAACGTTGTGTTCCTCATAATAAAGACGTTGACATCCATACATTCTCTTCCTTTCCTTTCTTGTTGTTTAACAGTACTTCAACAGTTTTATGAATGTATGTTTTGTTGTCATCCTGACACTTATACTATAGATCTTAGTAGCAAAGAATAAAGAATGCATACTACTTAAAATAAGTTCAAGAACACCCGATTCTTTTAAATTACCATGACAGATTCACTATAGCAATATAAAAAAATAGGTTGTGTTTAACTTCTTTTGAATAGTATAGCTATGTTAATAGGGTCCTTCGTTAATCTGTAGTTTTCACAGTATACGTTTCCGATACACAAGTTAAAATTAATACACACGCTTTTCATAACGTATTGACTAACATGTTGCTGAACCTATAACTTCAAGGATATAATTACCAGATGCCATCTACTGACAAATTTTTTGAAAGATATGCATGAATTAGATATAATATAAAAACTATATTAGATTAATAATTGAATATGTTTGTTGTTTAAACACCAGACTAAGCAATATTACTGAGTATGACAGACGAACCAGTGCTTGATATTACGAGGAACGTTCATGCGATCAGCATAGTGGCCGAGCCTGAATACCCGAGCTGGTACGTCGCCTATCATAGCACGCATAGGCTGCTGGGAACCTGGCCGAACCAGACATAACCACGGAGGCCATTATTGATAAAACACGAAAACGAGTAGAAAGGGATATTTAGTAGCAAGACCCCCGAGGGGACACGTTTGGCCTAGTCGTCTAAGGCGCCGCAGAGTTGCGTTCGTTTGGCGTACAAGAAACCTGATGTTTCAACACGATACCTGTGATCGAGTGGTAAACGTCTAAGACATGCATCACACTTGCTTGCGCAATTCTCTCACTCATTCAACCCATGTAGTGGATAGCACTTACTGCAGGTGAGTGGGCACATTTCACTACTTACTGAGATCTCAACGCAACAACATCACAACGGTAGAGGCGCCGAACGTCGTCATCAAAGGTGGATCCAAGTGACGTTCTGGAATGGTGTTACTTTTTATTATAACATGAGCTGGTTCAAGCCATTACACCATTTTAATATGATATAATGTACTATACACCAGAGCGGAATAATGACGGTAATTAATGGACCTTTGTGAAACCGTGTATGTGTTAATGCTTCAAATACTGTTATTCACACCAAACCTAAGTTACACAGTTTGGTTTGGGCCATATGTGTTGTTATTATCCATGTGAGTGAATGGGTATAGTTTAATCCCGCTTTTAACAATATTCCAGCAATATCACGGTGGGGGACACCAGAAATTGGCTTTACACATTGTACCCAGGTCGGGAATCGAACCCGGGTCTTCGGCATGACGAGCGAACGCTTTAACCACTGGGCTATCCGACCGCCCCTTATCCATGTGAAGAGAGAACAGCATAGAACAAATAATACATATAGCGTCCACCGAAATAGATTCCATTTGGTGTTAAGGGCAAAATAGCTGTGACATTTAGATGGAAATCAGTGATGACACCAGGTGTTCGCGAAAAGGGTAAGCAAGTTCTGCCCAACAGGCGACACCCACCATTGACAAAATCTCCACAAAAAGTAAATATTTATTGCCTGACGCCATGTATTATATATTCATTAAAACATTATGAATACATTGGCTCACCCCAGTTTAGCAGCAATTGTAAGTGTTAACAAAAATCTATTTAAATAACCAAATAACTTAATTTTTTATATGTCCATCAATCTATTGTGGAAATAAACATATTCTAAATCTAATTTCATGTGACATGAATTATTTATCATCAGCTTTTTGACATTTGTATCGTGTTTTCCATGTTTTATATTTCAATGTGTCATATGTATTACTTGTATATAATGTCTGTGCACTGTACATATATTATTCACATATCACAATGAAATGTATATAGGTGAAGGCCTCGTAAGTGTGTCACTTGTGCCTAATCCATTTGATTTTTCTCAATAAGATATGTTTAAATCAATAATTCAAATCAGTTTATTTCAGCAACATTTGGAAAGTCCCGTAGTCAAAGCAATGATGTATAATTGTGAACGTTCGCATGCTGTTTTGAGATCTCGTCACATACTATAAACCTCTGAATCATCCACTCACCCGACCGAGTACACCAGACAAGGAGGGGCGGGGCGGGGCCTGTCATCATCACAAACGTCCCAGCCATCTTCACCCAGTCCCCCCATCCGTAGCTGACGTTCGCACAGAAAGTTGATATTGGACATATAACCGTTGAAGACACGAGGCAATGCACGATGTGTCACAAATACAAAAATATATCTCTGCCATTTGTCTTATACATTGGCTTAACTGGTGTTTGTCACGAGTCAGCACTACTTTAGTAGGTTGTCCAAAGTGTAATCTTTGATTTCACTATTGTGCAAACATTGACTTCACTAGTGTGTCTCATATGTATGCCTTCACTTCACTGGTGTGTCGTTGGTTGATTGTTTAACGCCGTACTCAGCAATATTCCAGCTATATGGAGGCGGTCTGTAAATAATCGAGTCTGGACCAGACAATCCAGTGATTGATATCATGAACATCAACCATGTCAGCGAGCCTGACCACCCGATCCCGTTAGTCGCCTCTTACGACAAGTATAGTCGCCTTTTACAGCAAGCATTGTTTGCTGAAGACCTATTCTATCCCGGATCTTCACGGGTCTCAGTGGTGTGTCCCGTGTCTCCCGTGTCTCCCGTGCAAGAATTGACTTCACTGGTGTGTCTCATGTGGAGGCATTGTTGATGGAAGGTATTTGTTAAAACATTATTCTGCTAAATACGCAAACAAATCAAACGGTGTAAACAAAGATAACAGAAATAACTATTGAACTTTATTTTCGCAAATAACGTAAAATGCATTATATTCCAAATGAAATATAAAAAATCATATTTTGTCCAAATTACCTTGTTATTCTGTCGACTATCATAGGGCGTTACTATATTCTTATGTGAAACTGTCCGTATTTCTTCTGAGTTTTCCCATCTACTGTTCTCCCTGAATTTTCATTCCGACGTGAAATAATTGAAAGTATTGGTATCTCAATTTTATAACAATTGCACACACAAATATAAAAAAAACCCAGGTCAGTTTGAACTTTCTTGAGTTGTGTTTATTAAAGTTTCCAAGCAAAGTGACTCGAAATATGTCATCAATTTATTTAAAGATTTAAAGGCTGATACTAATGCGCTCCCCTTCTTACTGGTCTGTTTCTTTATGCATATGAATCAGAATTTCTGCTCCGTAATTTGGCCAAGAAGCTTCAGGTATATCGATGATCTGATATCGTTCAATAGCAATCAAATAGCCAATTCCCTTCCACTGATTTACCCATCTGAACAAGAAATAAAGGTCACCAGAGAGGCTGCTATACATTTTTCATATTTAAATTTATGCATAAATATTCATAGTGACAAAACACCCCCCACAAGACAGTATGACAAGAGGGATGACTTCAACTTTCCAATTGTCAACTTTCTCTTTATGTCGGGCAATATTTCTGAAGCTCCAGCCCGTGGTGTCTACATTTCACAACTTTTGGGGATACAATCAAGCATGCTCTTTCTACCAAGATTTCAAGGAGAATAGGAAAAGGGTTTTGTCGATTTTATTAAATGTCTAGAGTTACACAATGAGCAAAACATTTTTTTTATTTCTCTTTTATACTTATATTTCGTCCGCCCGCCCGCTCGCTCTCTTGCTGGTTGAAGATGAGAAACAGATAGAAAACGAATTGCCCGATGGGTTGTCATGGGTGAATATACCAATTGACACCTTGGAAGGGTAGTAGTTTCTATACAACATATTGATATACGATTATGCTTAACACAAATTTTAGTGAACGTTGCGAAGAACTGACACATCGTTCATACCTACCCTTGTAAACTCACCTGTGGAAAGTGTTTATCAGATAACGCTCAGGTAATTCTGGCAACTCGTCGCAGGGGGGAAGATGCAGCTGGCAAGTCGAACAAATTATGCAAATCAAATATCAAAATAAATTAGATAATATTTTACTGAATGTTGCACTTTAAAATCGTGTTTTACTTATTCATATGTTTGTAAGCTGCAACGTATGCCAAAATTCGAAGTGCATCAGTTGTGGATAAATCAAGAAATGTCGTTCGAAATGTTGCATGTTTCAAATACCGAAACCAATGAGTGTTATGTGAAGATGTTATTAAATATTAATGAAATCCGGAAATAGTTTGTTTTTTATATTCTCCTACTTTCGTATTTGACACTACACATTATGCTGTCATGACTTGTTAAACATTATGCTTCACAGCATGAAAAGTAGTCAGGTTTCCATTGTCTCCAAACCTTCCTAATTCCTTCTTATTTTGGTCCTGGAAGATACATTTGCACAATCATGGCAACGATTTGGAAGTGCATTCTGTTCAAAAAGGTATGAAATATTTATAAAACATATCTAAACATCATCATTAAATTTGAATGTTGCGTAAGGGTTTCCGGGAGGAATCTATACATAAATATTCTGAATGGTTTGTATGTGGTATATAACAGCTTACCAGACTGAGTGAGCGGATGCGGCTCACGGGGTGGTCGATGTCATCAGACACTGGCGACACGTGGCCATGACCAGGCCCGTCCGTCACCATGTCAGGAAGACGAGATGACCTCGACAGCTGGGGAAACACGTAATGAATATGATATGATACTAAGATATGATAAGATACCTGTACAGTAGTAACTTTGGGCCGCGTACAAATATTATTCTCCACCGGGCATGCATGACCATTATTGATGGCAGATAATTGTTTCTTTCCGTCTCACCTTTGATTACATCATAAACAGTACAATAATTAGATACAAAGCCACTCTTGGAAATATTTATGAGAGACGATAATTCAAATCTACGACACACACACACACACACACACACACACACACACAAACCTACACACACACACATAATTAAATACATATGAGTGGAATCAGTTGTGACAAGATTGTCGTCATCCAACGAAGAGGGAATTGAGTAACATAACAGTTGTCTCAGGGAAGTAGGTACCATGTAAAGTGTTAATACAATTGAATAAATGAATCGATAAGCAGACTGAAATTAAATGTCCCATGCAGTGGAGATGAAAACTCCTTGATCACGATTGTTGGATGGCTTGACTCGTCTGATGTGGATAGTTTATTGGAGCTTGCGCTTCTTCCAGGTGTGAATGTTTGTAAAGAGGAATTAAGTGTGTTGCCAGGAGATGTTGATATGTTCTGAAGTCCGATTCTTCGAACAAATTTAACAAGAAAGTTACATGCACTTCCAGTTGAATTACTTCATAATTGTTTAATGAAGGCAACTAAATAACAGAAGGTCTGGTGCCTCTACCGTACAGTTGGAAGCATTTCCGGTTTAATTACCCTGACCCTCAAGTTCTGCCAATCACGTGCTTCATTAATTCTTGTTCTTAACATTTGTCACCCAACTACGGGGATTTAGTCAGTACACAAACCAGCATAACTACCTGAAGGATAGATCCAAGACAATGTGTTATGCATCTGCATCTAACTTCATTAAATTTCAAACAAAATTCTCATCTTTAGTTCGATTTCTCAAGAATTCTAAAATGTTCATTTCGTAGTTATACTGTCAACATTCTTCTTCCTTTGAATGTCTTGTTGCAAACAGAACATGATACTGTATTATATCCTTCGGTAATAGTCACCTCGTTATTATGGACAGCTGTACACACCAACCCCATCAAAAAAGAGAAATACTTGTATGTCTTCTTTGCATCCGCTGTGAATCCCATGCACGCTAAAGCATATTAGCTACATTTATGACCACTTTCTTTTGGCATGCCTGTATTAATCACATTTATGACATCTTTTTTAAGTATACTGAAAGCTCAAAGGGCTAAAACAGTTCCTAAACTAATGTAAGATGATTTGTTTGCGTTTAATAAACATTGCATTATGAACAACGTCCAATTCCGCCAGAGTTCAATGTCAAACAATCAACCAAGTATCCAATCCTGAACACCGGATATATTTATTTGCCTCTCAAAACAAGCATAGGTTGTCGGGGACAACATGGTTGCTCAACATGGTTGTGTGATGTATGATATATGATATTCTCACAAAGTTTTTCCGTCAAGGAAAGCCTCTTTCGAACCGAACAAGTCAAATTTATTATTATCATAGAAGCTCGCAATCTAAAATTTAAACTCATGAATAGCAAAAGACATCTTTTCAAAGCATAGTGTATAGAAAAAATACTGTACACTAAATGAGTTGCACCATGGAAACGAACCTTACTTTCATTTCAACCTAGGTCCAATTTGTTGCCTTGGAAACGTATAAAAACTTATATATACTTACTTAACATTTGGGAGAACCGGTTGGTACGAATGAAACACCTTTGAGAAAGTATTCAGTGATGTGTCCTGTTTTATATTTTAAATATAATGGACCGTACACTCCAATTGCAAGTACGATGTGCATAGTTGCGTCCCTTAGCCGTTTTGGTATACAGGGATCATGGGATAACGAACACTGCATACTTTACACCATGCCCTTGCTCATTGACAACTTAAATGACAAACGTGGCAGACGGTACTTCGGACTTTCCTCGCAAAAGACGGACCTTAAACATTGTATCTATGTGGGAATCGAAGCGTGCTCTCCAGCGTGATGAGTGGACTCTTTAGTCACAAGGATATCCCTACGCCCCTGTCTTTAGATCAGTTCAATTATACAAATAAGGCACTAACCAGTACATCACGTAGGCTACTGAGGACAGCGACGAGTACTGCCACCAGCACGGCCACCATCCACAACCACAGGCACGTAACACGCATCGTGTTACCTAATGTTGATGGTAGAAAATCCCGTGATTTGGGATGATGTCTCCGCAATATAACACTGGTATTATCCGAGAGGAACATTCAGTATGCATTTGACGACGTTTCAATGTTGACGTCCTGTAAACTTTACCAGTTTCACAACTATGTTCCAGCTGTTGTGTGAAGTTCCTACTTGGGGTGTCAATGTCACACACCGTCATCGATCCAATCGTCAAATTGATTGGGTTGTATGGGATGTTCTTACTTCACTGAAGGGTGTGTGCATGAGGTCGTGGTGAGTTCAAATCTAACGTTGCATATGCATAAAGCGAGGTGTTCAGGTGTTGTTGTTTTTATTTTAAAAAACGAAATTGTTTAATCCGAAGATCTGTATTCAGATGAATTATGACACCCTGGGTAAAGTGAAGATTGGATGCTTTTTAACGTCACTGTCATATTACAGCTATATCACGACAGTCTGTAAATACAGTAAACTACGGTTATAACGAACTCAAAGGAACCACTCATTTTAGTTCGTTATAACCGTAGTTCGTAATAAGCATAATAAATACAGCATATAAACAAACGACCGGGACCAAAAAATAAGTTCGTTATATCCATCATTTCGTTATAACCGTGTTCGTCATAAACGTAGTTAACTGTAATCGAGTCTCATCCATGCAAACCAGTGACTGAATAATAAAAGCGACAAAACCCCTTCCATATTAATGAGAAATCCCTGCCAAAAAGTTGATTGTACGAAATTAGGGCCATTGGAGCTGAAGGAATACTGCTCGACACAAAGGGAAAGTTGACTATTGGAAAGTTGAAGTCATGCCTCTTGTCATACAATCTTGCATAGAGTGTTTCGTCACTCTGAACCTTTATGCATAGATGTAAATATAAAACACATGAATCACTATCAAATAGTGATGATACCACGCGTTCGGGAAAGGATGAGCGTACCCTGCCTCTGCCGGTGGCACCCGTCACAAACACATGCAAAGGCAAGGCAATTGTTCACCTGAAAAAATCACGGCAACATATGGTACATGTCAAAAAAGGAATTGCATCGGACATCATTGTTGTCAGTGGTGCGTCAAATATGGAAATGTGAAAACACAACATACAACACTTCAGTTAATATCTAAATATCGCTGACAAAATATCCCCTTCGATAACAATTAGTGTTGCTGTGACAAATAACTACCATTTATACAATTCATATATTCACATATTCGATGTACAGATTGTATAACGCGCGATGATTTAGATATGAAGATACGGTTTGTAAATGACATGTCAATGGCCGAGGAGAAGATATAAGATTGTTGTGACGAGAGTTGAGAGAAACAGTGACAAACAAATACAAACTTCTTGTCTCTTTTGAGTGATGGTGATCAATCGCATTGAAGACAAATGTAAACCTTTTAGGCAAATGTTGTGATGAATATGACGCATAACCAGCCTGTAACTAACCTAGTGGGATACTTGGATAGAACTGGATCCCTGTTCTTGGAGTAAGAGGCGACGAGGATGGTCAGGCTAAGAGTGAGTGAGTGAGTTGGGTTTAACGCCGCTTTTAACAGTATTCCAGTTATGTCATTGCGTGTCATCGTAATGTGAGAGAAAAGCCCGAACTGATGCAGGTTTCCACTTCAGTGAAACCCACGAACATGGGTATGGTGCTGACAAACCTAGAAACATAATCGGGGCAAGTCAGGCGGAGACTTCACTGAGAGCGTCTTATCGTGCTTTCAGTTGCTGGTTTGTCTGGTTGGTCCAATCGATTAATGGCTGTGTCATATAACCAGATTATTGCTGAATTCTACTTGGTTTATACACGTCAGGTCAATGTATCAGCCGCTTAGATCTAGTTGCTTCTTAGAGGTGTGGTGGTGAAATGGGGTTTAACGTCGCGTCCAAGATTATTGCACTTACATAGCGACGTGCAATCACGTGTGCGTGTGTGTTAGTGTGTGTGTGTGTGTTAGTGTGTGTGTGTGTGTGTGTGTGTGTGTGTGTGTGTGTGTGTGTGTGTGTGTGTGTGTGTGTGTGTGTGTGTGTGTGTGTGTGTGTGTGTGTGTGTGTGTGTGTGTGTGCTTGTACAAGTCCGGACCGATGCCGATTAATAGTGCAAGCCCACTGAGATACGATGCCGCTGTTTAACATGAATTTCTCACTCAGACACAGTATACTGACTCCCAGCCGACCAGTCCTTGGTTTAGCCCCTTAATGCCGAGCGCCAGACAAGTACAATATTTTAGAGTCTTTTGGGATGACGCGGCCGGGGATCGAACCCGGTCATTTTGCCATCCGGGCGGACGCTCTACCTCAGGACCACGGAGGCGTTCGTTGTTCCGAAAAGATTCTTAAATATGATTCACAATGTCATTTCATTTAATAAACACCACTGAAGTTTTTAATTAGTGCCACCAGCAAGTATGTCTAACATTTCATGGAATATGAATGCAGCTGTTGGGATAATTTCACCTTTTTGCCGCTGGTACATACCAGTAAATATGTACTTTATTGCATGAACATATATTGATGATCGAAAAGAACAGTTATGATATATATTACTAAAACAACAGATTGCACAAAACGTCATGAATTGTGTTTTTCTAAAGAATATATGCTGCGTTTTTGTCAATGAATTATGTATCTGCAGTTTCTTCTCTTCTTTAACTGGTCAACAAAGTATTCATCCCAACGTCAGTGTACAGCCAGTTAACTTCTCCATGTCAAAGTTTTCATCTCAAAGTCAGTGTACAGACAGTTAGCTTCACCATGTCAAAGTTTTCATCTCAAAGTCAGTGTACAGACAGTTAACTTCACCATGTCAAAGTTTTCATCTTAACGTCAATGTACAGACAGTTAGCTTCACCATGTCAAATTCTTCATCTCAAAGTCAGTGTACAGCCAGTTAGCTTCACCATATCAAAGTTTTCATTTTAACGTCAATGTACAGCCAGTTAGGTTCACCATATCAAAGTTTTCATTTTAACGTCAGTGTACAGCCAGTTAGGTTCACCATATCAAAGCCTGACACTGTTGACATAACGGCCTCAGGCAACAAACATTTGCTTTTTTGTGCAAATTGTGCGAGTGAATTTGTGTGAGAAGGGTGCCACATGTTTCACGAAGTGTCTGTTTAATGATACCTGATAATATACTGAATCATGTTTACATAATAGTAAAGACCACATGGACATCCTTATAGACACATGCATGATACGAGTGAGTTAGGTGTTACCTTTCAATTTGGGATACTAGTATTGCAAATATACATAGCCAACGTCAGAGAATAAGCAGTCTCGAGTATCCACCGAAACAGTCCATTTGGCGTGAAAATTATACGAATGAGACCCGTGAAGATCCGGGGTAACATAGGTCATCAGCAACTCATACTTGCCGTAAAAGGCGACTATACTTGCCGTAAGAGGCGACTAACGGGATCGGGTAGTCAGACTCGCTGACTTGGTTGATGTATGTCATTGTTTCCCAATTGCGTGGATTGATACTCACGATATCCATCACTGGATTGTCTTGTCCAAACTCGATTATTTACAGAACGCCGACATATAGCTGGAATATGGCTTTATGCGGCGTTAAACAACAAACAAACAAATATAAATGGACCAGTGAAAATCAGTGATGACACCAGATGTTCGCGAAAAGGGTAATCATGTCTTGCCCTACTGGTAGCACCCGCCACACACGCAATTTGCATAAAAAAGTGGGTATTTATTGCCTTACACAGCATAACAGTAGCCCTTAAATGCGCCGGTGGCCTGTAAACAAACCAGACAATCAAGTGTTCGATGAAGCAGAAAATCCTGTGTACTATGACGCATTTACGGATTTTGTTAATTTTGTCTGCTGTGTACAAGTGCAGAGACACCATGCGACTCCAAGCATATACATATGTGATTGATTGCAGGCCTGGGCAATCCCACCGCTAACCTTATCCCCACCCCACTGACCTTATCCTCCCACACATGTAGCCGATACAAGCATATCAATCAATACTGCATTACACTCTGAGTGTATGAAATATGACTGATGATTTATAGATATAAAACGTCCACGCCAGAGAAGAAGCAGTTTCAATCATCCACTTAAACAGATGCCATTGGGCAAAATAGGGCAGAAAATTATAAAAATTTAAATAAATAAAGAAGAAATCCTCAGGAAAATAGTAAGAATAGAGTGTATGCACAAATGGAAGTAGTGCGTAGGCATGTCGTTTAATTATTCTCAGTAGAAACTGTTGATTAACTCCAATACGTTGACATGAGGACTGGTCAAAACGTTTTAAGCCCGGCTAACTTTTAACGATGGGCCACAACAAAGTGAACTAGTCAACGTTGTGCATTGTTTGAGTGGTTTATTGCATGTGCATTTGGTCTTTTGAGGCCGTCTGTATATTAGTGACAGCCAGTTGAAAATGATAGGGGTCCAAATGAACACAGAAGTGGAAAATAACAAGTACCGAGCAGTCATCAAGTTTTTGACTCAGAGAAATGTACTCCCCAGGAAATTCATGACCGTAAGTGTATGGGGATAAGTGCCCTAGCTATTCCACTGGTCAACTTTGGGCAGCTATGTTTACGGCTTGGAGAACAAGCCTTGATGATAACCCTAGGTCTGGACGTCCCTCATTTTCCGTCTATGTAGATTCAATCAAGGAGATAGAAAAACGTATACCGTCAGATCACCATTGCTGAACTTGAGGAAGACACAGGTCTAAGCCATGGATCCATTGAAAGTATTATTAATGAACATTTACAAATGAATAAGATATCTGCTTGTTGGGTGCCAAAGTTTCTTAATTCCGATATTAAGGAAAAAAGAACTGACATTACCAGAGCTAATTAAGGAGGATTTTGTCACATTAAAAAAGATATTAGTAACGGGTGATGAAACATGGGTCTGCTACTATGATCACGAGATAGAGCGTCAATCAATGGAATGGCACCATTTCACTTCTCCAGCAACAAAGAAATTCAAGACTTCAAGATCAGTGACGAAAGTTATGGCCACTGTGTTCTGGGATGCAAAGGAGACTGCCTAAGTTCTACTACTTCATGATAATGCCTCTTCTTACACCTT